GGCACAAACTGGAACACAGGAAGTTCCCTCTAGACATCAGGAAACTTTTCACTATGATGGTTGACTGACAGTGTTGCCTGGAGAGGCTGTGAAATCTCCGTCCTTGGTGATAATAAAGAGCTCACTGGACATGGTCTTGGTCAGCCTTCTGTAGGGTGCCCCTGCTGGAGCAGGGGGATTGGACCAGATGATCTCCAGAAGTCCCTTCCACTTCAATATATCCTAATTCTGTAGTGGCTGACACTGTCCACCTCTGCCAGTGATTTCTAACAGTAGTTCTAGCATGGAATTCTTAGTTGAAATCAGAGATGGCCTTGTAGTTCTTAACATCACTGCTATGACACCTCGTGTGTTGTTTTATGTTTGGTAAATTTGTGTACACAGGAGTCTGCTGTACTGAGGGAATTCATTGAAATTCTGGCAGCAAAGTGACTTACATAAGGAGAGGGCAATAGTTTAATGTAAGTTAACTTGGCATTTAGCTGATGTCCTGAGGAGGTTTTGTGTGTAGGCCTGTGCTGTCCCACATCTTGGTGTCTCTAAGACTTTTCTGCTGCATGAGAGGAAGAGCAAGTGATGGACATAAAGAAAATGTAGTCAAGTATCTGTGAAGGTTCTTGGCAGCTCATCAAATCTCCCACCCTCTCCTAAGTGACACTAGCCAGTGATTCTAGTTACTAGCCTCCTAGCCACTGATACTGGCTACCCCCAAGTTTGTGTAATATTCTATCTGTGGTGTATTTTAATGAATAACCTTTTTTTTTCTGCTTCCTCTCCTAAGTGACACTAGCCAGTGATTCTAGTTACTAGCCTCCTAGCCACCGATACTGGCTACCCCCAAGTTTGTAATATTCTATCTATGGTGTATTTTAATGAATAACATTTTTTTTTCTGCTCATATTTTCTGGATATGTATATATATGCACACACAAACACACACACATCTATTCCTATACATTGTTTTGTGTTTTTATTCTGGCAAGGCCTAAGTACTACTGTGCTTCTTACATAATTATTTCTTCCTTCATTTTAAAGTGTATTGGTTGTACTCCACATAAAGGCTTTTTCTCAACAGAGAGAACCAGTAGAAGAACACCAAGATCACGGATCATCACAAGACAGCAAATCCATAATTTGCAAGATGGTGCAGAACTTTATGAAGCAATTCAGAATGCATCTGATCCTGGTTATATGGAGGTAACTGTAGTTACTACTGGGTTAATTTTGAAAAGCTTTTGGAGTAAATGAAAATTTAATAATTCCTGCTGAAATTGGCCATTAAATTACTCTTCTGTTTTGTTGCCTTCTGATATTTTCTACAGCATGCTTATTGCTAAATAAATTAATATTAAAATCTTTGAAAAAACTTAATGAAAGCTTGTTGTAATTGATTAATATGATCTTGGATGGCAATTTTCATTTGGTATAAAAATTCAGGATATAGCACAATTAAAAGTTAATGCTACTTTTATTACTTTGCTTTGTCTTGCTTATATGAAAACCTAATGCATCTCATCAATCTGGAGTTTCATACATATACTCTTGCATGCTGTTCACTGAATTGTTTGGATAATTATGTTGTCTTCGTTGTCTTCGTTCTCTGTTCCAGTTAAATCACAACTTTTAAGTGTTTATGCCTTTACTAATAAAGATACAGGTGATTAGTCCTTGCTGGTTATTAAAAAATTAAATACATGCCTTGCCTTTTGCAAGTGAGGATCCTTGTCTGTCATATTTGATGAAATGGTATCTGTGTCTCTGGAGGGTGCATGTACAGAAATCTGGGTCTTGAAGACTTGGTCAGTAAAGTGATGGGTTTGATGCATTTTAGTGTAAATCACTGTGTCAGCTCAGAGAAAGCAGCCTGAGAAGAAGTACAACTCTTTCCTTTATTCTTCCTAATATGTCTTCATATTAAAGAGGCAAGCCTGCCTGTTATATTAAATATTCACCTTACTTACACACTCTCAAGCAGACTTCTCACTAATTGTCAGGTAAGAACAGTGTGTAGTGTAATCTCTACACAGACCAGAGAGCACCAGCTGAGTACCAGCAGTACCACTGCTGCCTCCTGTTGTTTCAATATACCTCATTTCAAGTCCTAGTAGTGCATGGGCTGGAAATAAATTGCTTCTAACAGATGAACACTCAAGAAAGAGGCTATCTAAAAATCTTGTGGTTTTTTGATTAATAGAAAAGATACTGAGTTCATCTTCTGTTGGTTGCAGGGATATCTCAGTGATGACCAATTAAAAGCCTTGAAGGCTTACAGGCAGCTGATGAATGACAGAAAACAAACTCAGATGCAGGAACAATTCAAGAAGGCTTTAGAGTCACAGGAAGAAAATGGTTGTTACAAAAGGGACGTGTCTGCCGTATGGAGATTATATGTGGTAGACTACAGAAAGCAAGAAAAACGTAAAGGTCAGTGCTTTAAACATTATAAATAACTTTTAACAAAATGTGGTAACTGGCCAGCATAGGTAGATTTGAAGAGTTTCCCAACAGTACTTTAGCTTACATGTTAATATTTCCAGTTTGATTCTTAGTTTAAGGCTTTTGGATAGGAGGGAGGGTTGTAGATTTATTTTGTTTAAAAGCCTTCAAAGTATTACTGAGCAGGTAACTGAGCTCCCTGTGCTGTTGTCAGGAGCGGTTCTCAGTATCTGGCGCCCGCTGCCCGATGTGTGTTCCTTGCTGAAGGAAGGCGCTCGCTACAGGATCTTCCAGCTCTCAGCGTCCCAGTCCAGGGGCAGGGCAGACGCCACCAACCACTTAACAGCCACCAAGAAAACTCAGTATCTGCAGCTGCCAGTGAGTGCTTTAAGTGCATAAAGGTGCATCATTAAAATGTGTCTCACTCTGTAAGTATGGTAAATACTGAAGTTTTGTGTTTCATCAGGTATCACAGGAGATGCTGGTACAGGTTTTCTTTCCAAGAAAGGCTCTAGAATTCACCAGTTTGTTGGATCCTTCTTTTCAGCCACCATGTGCTGAAGTGGATTTAGTCGGAGTTGTAATTTCTGTTAGCAGAGCAGGTACGTTGTGGACCACATTCACATCCTCCCATTGAATAAGCACTGAATTCTTTATTTCAAAAGTCAGAGTTGTCTTGGTGTTGTACCTGTATCTCAGGCCTGTGAAAACCTCCTAATACAGACCATCACAGTGACATGCTGGCAGATGAATCTATACTTCTGAAGAAAAACTGTTTCTGCTTATTAGCTCAGGAAGTTAGTAAGGAAGGATCTAAGCTCAAAAGCAGATTATATTTAAATATTTATACATATATGTATTTTTTCCATAAATAATGGCCCTAAGTTCTCACATCTGTGTTCAGCATCTGCAGAAACACCATCATGCATGTACATGAACTCTCTCTTTGGTGTATAGTGTCATGGAATGAGTGGAATTCAGGCACTCATTGATGGATAGGGAGAGGTGGATAATCTGGGAAAAAAGGAAAAGTTCCATAGGAGCATTGTTTTAAAGACACAGACTTTGAGTTGTTTTCTGTAATCAGTGGAATATGAAAGTATGAGATACCTGTCACCATGCAGGTGGGCTGTCCCATAGCTCTTTCAAGATGTGTGTGACTTTTTTGTAGTAGATCCAAATCACTTAAAGAGATGTAAAGGTTTAATTCAGCCTTTTTTCCTGCTTTTAGGTTTCACTACTGTGGTATACTTGTCTGATGAAAGCTATAATTTAGTGGCAGTAAAGATCTGGACAGATCTCAGACACTTGGCTATTGAAGATGTAGTTGTCCGCTGCTCCCTCATTTCTGCAAGCAACCTTCAGTGGCAGTCTGAATTCAGATCAGAAATTCCCGTGCTGTTGGCTGGAGATCTTTCTTTATTCTCAGCCAGTCCAAAGGAATGCTATCTTCAAGAGAAGGTTAATGAGCTGAGAAGTGTGATGGAGGTAAACCTGTAGAAGTGTCCTTTGATGGTTACTTTTAGTTACTGCTGTGTTACATCCTTCACCAAAAAGTCTGTTAGTACTGATAAACTTTTAAAACAAGTAATGCATATAAATGCTGAATTTGAGGGAAATTTTCTGGGAGATGGAGTAAGATGTTAATGCAGTTTTCCTGGGGGCTTGAATGTCTTGATTTTTTTTTTTTAATTATTTTCCAACTCATCCAGCATTGTCTTTAGGATGTGCCACACAATCTCTGAGTGGCAAAAGATCTTGTACCTGTCAATAGGGAATCTGCCATGGACAGAAGGTGCAGGAATTTTCTGTGTTGTTGGTTTGATACAAAATAAAATTCCAGTGGGATAATGATGAAAAAAGAAAGTCTTAAATGTAGTGTATATAGTCCTTACATAGTTTGAAAGCCAACTATTCTGCATTGCAAACTGTTCTCCCTTACAGAATGTGGCCTCCTTTTGCTCTGATGCAGAAAGTAAATTGATGAATTTGCTACGAAGAAATCGCTTGCTTACACCCGGTTTAACTAAAAGATGTGGCCTGGAAAGCCCCTCTCCTTCCTGCAGCCATGCAGAGGATAGAAGTTTGGTAAGCTTCTGGTAATTAATGCTGTCTTTATACTGGCACTACATGCAGTAAGGATTTAACCAAGTGTTATACCTGTGGTGAATGGTCTCACTTCTGTGTCCATTTCATCCAATCTTCTCAGGGCAATGCAAGCTGATTAGAAGCTTTATCTCTGTGTGTGTGAGTTTAGGATTATTCCCCAGAGGAGCCATGAGATGGATTATACTTCCTCCAAACACTATAGGAAAACTTCCCCTTGTGGCCTGTGTTTCCACAAGGTACTTTAAGTATTTTGCATTTGATGTGAGTAAAATGAATCATCTTTCTTTATAGATGATTTAGGGGGCTTCTTTGGTCCCACTGTGAAGATTATCCAATGTGAATGTCACAGAAGGGAAAAATCTCAATCTGTACATTTTTATTTCAAGGCATTCCGCAGTTCCCACCTTTGTTGAGAGGATTTATTTCCTGGACTTTTTATAGATAGTGTTTACAATTTCTAGGATTTAAAAGGGATGTCACCTGGTAAATGTATTTTAGCAGTCTTGACAAAAATTGATTTAAATAGTACTCAAGTTTCCTATGAAAGCTGCTGGTGGTGAGTTGCTTCTGACATGGAATACTGAGCACAGTCAGAACAAAAATTTTTCCTGCCATGAGTTGCAAGGGAGGTAGAAACACCCTGGTGTGATATCAGTTCCTGGGGACTAAGTTTAAGCTTGTAATGCATCCTTTTCTATTTCAAAGGGAGGGCTAATGTTTAATTCTGAAGGTTTAGTTTATATATTTTAAAGACTAAGTAGTTAATATTTGTATAGTTTATTAAATGCAGTAATCATCTTTTAAAAATGAGACATTAAGTGTATTCTCAGGCCTGTGGTTAAAAGATTTGCTATGCAGCATCTGTCCTGTGTGTATTATTATCTTCAAATTATTTGGTCTATCCTGTTCTATCCTGGCTTTTCATCAATTTTTTTTCTCCTTTTTACTTATTTAACCAACCATGTGTGGAGAATATAACCAAGGCAGTAGAAGACTTATGAGTGCTTTGATTTCTTACCATCTGGCATAGAAAAAGTCCCATATATTTTGCTTTGCTCTTGGAAACAAAATGGAAATGTACAGGTGAACAGTGACTTATCAGTCATCAGCACTTGAAGCACTTGATACTAATCACCATCAGGAGATACCGAATGAAACTTAAATGGGATATGAATGATGATGTAGTGTTTTCATATTGGTGGGAGGGGGAGGGTTTCCCTCATTTTTTGGAAGTCATTGAGGAAGTTCACAAAACAGAACATTCCATTCAACATAAATCTTTTTTTTTTTTTATCCAGATCTCCAGAATTGAAATGAAGCATCCAAGCCCTTTGTCAACTAGCACACCAAATATGGAACTTGTCACACCAGGGTCAGCAAAAACACCTTCACCTGCTACAGCTAATGAAAACCATCTCAAAACCAGCAAAAAGAGAAAAGCTATGGACTTCCTCAGTTGCATACCTGCCCCTCCACCACTGACACCAATATGTTCCGTAATTTCTCCATCTGTTAAAAGAGCATTTCAGCCTCCACGAAGTTTGGGTTTACAGCACAGCAAGTCACCTAAAGGGACAGATCAGAATATTGGCCTTGTCACCCCTTGCAGAAAAGTGAGAGAAACTGTCCATCTTCCTGAGAATGACCTGGTTGCTGATGAAGAACTGGCAATGATTAATACACAAGCACTCATGAATAATTTACCAGAAGAAAAGAAGATGGATTACGTAAATGAAAACAGCAATGCAACAGCTACTACTTTATCTGATGATCTTCCATCCAGAAAAAGTTCCAGGTCTGCTGGGGAAGCAAATAACTCCTCAAAAGCAGTTCTGAAGTAGCTGAGGCTCTTCAGCAGAACCCAAAGGAACCTGAAGACTTATTACCAGCCCACAGAATGCTACAAAAACCAAAATCCCAAAAATGCTGCTAATGCACATGTACAGTATTGTATATATTTCAAATTCAAATTATTTTTACACTTTGTACATTAAAACTTGATTGTATTTAATAAAGTTCTATTACAAAAACAGACTCATTAAATAACACTTCATTTGCAAAATAGTTTGAAGTTTAGTATGTAAACACTTCTCACAAAGATGAATTGTACAATAACATCAGTGTGGCTGAGGGTTTGATGACATTTTGTAAGCCATTGATTCTGTGTTCTTACATTACAGCAGGATCTTTGTTTCAGTCTAAAGCCATCAGTTTTGTTACCCTCTGCAACATTAGAGTAGTTGTTTGGTTGTCCAAAGTGGCACAGGGCATAATAAAGAGTTCTCTTATTTTCACCAAACAGAACACTTTAATTCTGAAATGTTGCTCTGCTATTCTGGCACACTTCTTATACTTTTCTCCTCAGACTTTCCATATAGCATTATGGAGGTTTAAAGAAGAGCTATGATTATTTCATTCAAAATGCCACACAGAATTGTTATTGTTAAATAGCTCCTTGGTCTGTGTTTCTGCTTCAGCTGTTCAGAGCTGCTCCTGTAGCCCTGTTCCCACGTAGGAGTTAATACGCACAAGCCTAACACTAATGTTTCATTTCAGGAGCCTCTCCATCTTTGGATCAGTGAACTCCTATGTCTTGGCAAGATGAAGAGCTAAGTTTGCTCTGTTGAAGGGTTTTGCTTGCAGGCTGGAGAAGCTCTTTGTGTGTGAGGTAAGACCAGCATGAATCCAGTCAGTGGAGAGAAGGAACAGCATCAGGTCTTGCTACAGTATGTTGAGCTACTTTTACCATCATTCACTTTGCCTCTGAAAGTTACAATAATGCTGTAGGCAAGGCAGTAGATACAATAAGTTTATGCAGTCAGATATAAAGCATTAAAATGGCATGAAATGCCAGTTGTGTGGGGAAAGAATTGGCCACAATGGCCTTAAGACAGAAATAAGTTAGGAATGCTTATCGCTAGTGTCAGACTGTCCTGCAGAAAAAAAATATCCTAAATGTGGCATGTGGTAGAGCCCAGGGCATTTCACATATGCCTGGATGCATTTTCATGGAGGAAGAGGGATGAGACAGAGTACAGTTTGTACTGGGCACAGTGCTCTTACAGTGAGCACATAGAGCTGTGAGATGGCGGTCCAATGCCATTTAAAGATTTGTAAGAAATAAAAGTAATTTAGAAAAACACAAGAATAAAAAACAGTTTAGAAAAAAATATAAAACTAGAGACTCTTGTACCCTAATAATTAAAACACCAAGGAATGCACTCTTCAGTTAAATGTCGCATTCGGACGTGCCATGCCAGGTCTCCTCCTTGGGATGGCAGAAGAGTGGGTGGGATGGGGACCCGTGCCATACGCTGCACTTGCTCCGCTGCAGCTTCTCTCATCCCTGCTTGGTTTTTCAGACTGGAGCACGCTGTGGAAAGTAACATTGTGTTCATATTGTTCTTTCATCCGTTGTATCTTTTCCCGAGGGACATGGTGAATATTTCTTCTGTAGAATCAAAAGTAACAGAAAACACAAGTATTTAGCTGCCTGTGTATGAGGAGTTACCTTCAGTTTGCTGAAGTCCCTGACAGGTTCAGCATAATGGTTAGGTCTCCACTGATCCCTTTCTGGCCATTTTTACAAATTACTGTTCACTTCTACCTACTTCTTAGGAATATTATTGTGACTGCTGAAAAATGTAACACCATTATTTTTGGGAGACAAACAGGACACAGAAAGCTGACAAATATGTTGTGTAGAAGACCTGTGTGGTATTTTATACGAGTGTTGCTGTGTTTTAGCACTAACAGATTGACCTCAGTGAGCTTTTGTACAGCTAGAGCTGCAGCCAGCCCCAACACTGACGCAGCTGCAAGGACCGAGGTCACAAACTGCTGTGCCTTGAGAGCAAGTAGGGAGACATGGCACGTGATGTGGCTCTGGCTCTAGGGTAGACTTGTAAATGGCAAGGTTGAGAGGGAGGAGAACACAATGCTCAAACATGCAGGGCTTTCTGCTTAGAGTAGCCAGAGTGGCACCAGCCATGATCCCTCCACAACTTAGCAGGAATTGTCTTCCCAAAGACCACCAGGAATTTCTGTTTGTGAGTTTGCAAACCCCGAGTATCCTTGGGTTTGCCCTTTAGTGCTATTAAAGTGCAGCTTGTGCCCCAGAGAGTGTATGTGAATTATCTCTACAATGCTTCTGTGAAAAGTCAGTGTGTGTCAAATATGCAATAAAACAAATTGCAAGTTACTGAGTAGCTCTGCCTACAATGAATGATCAGATTGTACCCCTGCAGTGCTCCCCTAACAATGGTGGGTGCTGCTGAGGCCAGAGCTGGCTGACAGCTCAGGCTGGTGGTGTCCTCACCTGTCCCCAGCCCTGAGCCATCTGCCATACCCTGCCTCCCCCTGCAGCCATGAATGCTCTGGGCCTTGGCTCTTTGCCATTTGTGTCCATCACACACAGACAGGAGCAGCATTAATTTTTGACTACAGCTCTTGGCTGGTAGAAAACAAATCCTTCCGTTGCAATGAAGTGCCCATGCCTTGTTTTCTTGCACTAAGTTAGCATATGTTATCTTCTGGAGCTGGTAGCTGGGGGAGCACTGCTCCCTGTAACTCACTTCACATCAGGCTGGCTGAAGGCTAGGAAGTCAGCCTGCACTCAATTTTTCAGTGACTACAGCCATTAACCCTGCAGTCACTGGTCAATATAACATTCTTAGAGCCACATTCAGCTGCCTCTATATCCTACCACACTGTACAGAGTGTTTATAGCGTTTTTTTGTGTGTTTGTGTGTGTGTGTGTGCATGTTAAGATCTTTACAAAGATCCTCTAGAACCCCATTTTTTACCCACACTTGATGCACCATCCCTCCATGCTGCAGCAGGACAGCATCTGTTATGGTTAGATTCTTAAGGACAGAAGTCTGAATCTTGGCTGTAGTGCTTAGATTTGAGTTTGTGCCCAAACAAAAGAGACTGCTGCTCAAAATACAGAATGAAAATCAGGCCTCCTGCCCCACCAAGCTTGCAGCACAAAAACATGCTTCAGGGCTTGTTGCCTTTTCTACTGCCTGACTCACTTCAGGCTCTCTCAGGGCTGAATTCACTACAGACCAGGTACTCAGTAATGGAAATTTCCCACAACAATCTTTCTGTTGTCATTTACCAGGCTACATTCTTCCCTATATGAAGAGGAAGAAGGCTGACCTGAGAGCATGTCAACAGAATGAGAGAAGCTGTCTGTTCCAGCAAAGAGAAAACTATGTACCTTGTCAGTTCTTGAACATTGAACTTCCAGGGTGTATCTGGTTCTTGGAATGTAACTTCATATCTATTTTCATGTGCCTAAAGAACACAAAGATGACATTACAAAACTGCACTAAAAGAACTGCCACCTCTGCCAGAACTCCTGACAAGAGACACCAATGTGTCTTCAAAGACTCTGTATGATGTGTTTTTCACAAGTCATGAACTACAATCATAAATCATACCTTGATATATTTGTCAACAAATAGTTTGGGAACTGTTCAGTTCATGTCACTGCTGGGGAAGGGTATGATGCCCTCATGACCAAAGTAGCAGGTTCAAAGGCCATTAATCTTTTCAAGTGGTTTTGCCTTCACTGAGTTACAAAGCTGTCCAGCTAAATAACCACACTGGCATCTCTGCCCCTACTTCATCACAATATCCAGCCTTAACTATAATTAGAGAACTACAGGAAATAGTATTTACTACAGTAAATATTTTTTGCCATGTAAAGAACCTTTTCAGTCAGATCAACCTGTAAATGTCATAGCTAAGCATATAAAAGCAATAAATCAGAGCTTTCCCTACCATCATCACATAGGGCTTCATTTCCCAAGCATGGATGTTGGTGTTATCAATAATAACTGGGCTTTTCCCATTCTTCATTGCTTTGCGTGCTGCAATGTAACACATGAAGTAAAGCTAAAATATATTGAATAACAGAGCCAGGCCTTACTAGCCCTACAGTGTCCTTTCTTTGCCCACTGCTGCCATGCTTGGTTCCCCACCAGACCTGACCTGGGTTTGCAGCTACCACCCAAATGGGAGCCGAGGCCAGTGCCCAGCAGCTCTCCTGCACCAAGAGGTGGTGCAGCCTCTGGCTGATCTGAAGCTCTTATAGAACAAGAAGCTCTTATAGAACTTACAACAGCCAAAAATTACTGTCATTTGCAGGACACCCCTGTTACATCATCTCAAAGTATGTTTGCCATAGCTACAAATTCCTTCAGAGCACAACCATAAAAGCATGGTACATGAAGTAAAGACCTGGATTGTTTAATTCTCAAACTTAAACCCAGCCTGCAAGTTTTCTTCCTGTCTATCATTACATTCTCACCCCCTTCCAGGTCAGGACACCTAAGAAGTTAGAGGAGAAGGCTGCAGTACCTACACTGCAGCGAGCAGCTGCTGGGCTGGTGACTGAAGGGTATCAAGATTCAGCAGTGCCTCCTCTAAAATAACATTACCCAACCTCCAAAATGTTTTCGTTCACACATTTCCCTTTTATAAGTCAGAAGAAATCAAATCAGAAGTGGTAAATGTATTTTTTAGCCAACGCCCCATGAACTACAGTGTATGACACCACCTCGAGGTATTTTATTCTGGGGGCTAAGTTTAAAAACAGCCTGATATGCAAAACTATTTTGCACAGCCCCTGGATCGAGTTCAGTCACCTCTTTTCTGGTTCCACTTGTGTGCATCTTCTAGGAAGTCAGGCTCAAAGACGTAGACACCATTTTCAATAAAGAAGTCATCAGTACTAAGGACTACAGCACCGGGGTTGTCACGTTTCAGCTGTCTGCAAGGAAAAAAAAAATGAAAGAAGGATTAGTACCTGGTAACACCCTTTAACAGAGACCATTAAATCATGAGCTATTTGAGTGCTCTG